CTGCCCTTGCTAAGTCGTTCACATGCAGCTCTCAAAGTAGGTAAGACTGGCCTCCAGGAGTTTACTGTCAAATTGACTAGGGACCCACTTCAGTGTCCTACAGGTAGCTCTTCACTGCCTAGTTTCATCAGTGCTAAATGCAATGAATGGCCCTCAGAGATCCGTCGTCTAGTTTTGGTCACCAGAAATCTCAAAATCTGTACACTCTTGGAGCCTCAGAAAATGCAGGTCAGCATCACTGGGAGCTTTTTAGACATACAGATTATCAAGTCCACTCCAGACCTATTGAATTAAAAACTCTGGGGGTGGGGCCCAGTAACCAGCTCTCCAAGATGATTCTTAAGTTTGTGATAACCTGGCTTAACAGTTTGGGTCCATTCTCCACTCCTCCTACCCCATGGTATTCTATTTTAGGAAGCTGTATCTGTCTTTTATTGCAATCTGTTTCCTCATCTTTCTTGGCATTATAAGTAGATAGCTACATCTAGTCCAGCTCTTCCCATTCTACAGAGAAAAATGGGAAGTTAACGTTCATGCTCCGAGTCACTCAGCAAGTTGGTGATAGATAGAGCTGGGGCTAGACGCCAGTTTCCCACCGTCCAGTGTCAGCCACATTCTGCCATATAGGTTTCTGATGACCTGGAAACTGCCGTTTTATTTGAACTCCAACCCCCACCGGTACAGGGGACCTTTGGCCACGCCCCCATCCGTGTGATCCCTTAGGAACCGGGGGCACATTCCCTCCCCAGCTGCGCTCGTGCACGTGCGCGACTCGAGAGCGTGCGGGGGGGGGGGGGCCTGCCTTTCCCCTCCTTTCATCCCTCCCCCCGCGGGTAAACTCCGGGCATCCATCAGTCTGTTAATTGCACTAATTAGAGATCGCGGAGGTGTTAATTGGAAAACCCTGGTATTGTGCCTGTTTGGGGAAGAAAACGTCAATAAAAATTAATTGATGAGTTGGCAGGGCGGGCGGCGCGGGTTCGCGGCGAGGCGAAGGGTGTCGTGGCAAATGTTACGGTTCAGATTAAGCGATTGTTAATTAAAAAGCTATGGTAATTAATACTCCCTACGCCATATGGGCCCGCGAAAAGGCACAAAAGGTTTCTCCACGTGTGGGTCTCCCAGTCTCTTCCTCTCCCCGCAAAACACCCCAGGTCTTGGGTGCACCCCTTTGGCTCCAAGGTAGGTTGGCACTCGTCACTTCCGGACAGAGAGGGACAGGGCGGACCCGGGCGAGTTCTGAAAGGGCGTTGGTGCTTTCATGCTTGCTCGGTTCTACGTTAGAGGCAGGAGCCTCCGGGGGGGGGTGGGGGGAATGGGAGCCCCCATGGCAGGCCGCAGCGTCCCCCTGAGCGGAAGAGGCGGCTGCGGCTTTGACCCAGCTTCCTTCCTTCCGATGGCATCTTCTGGAGCCTCAGGGCCTGGCCGCAGCTCCCAGGTGCTTGGGCTTACCTAAGCGAACCCTAAGAACTGCCCACTTGTAGGACCAGAGCCCCACGCAGAAATCCTGGTCCTCCCAAAATAACTGGGTCTCCATTCCCTCCAACGTGTGGTATAAGAGGAGTCTAGGAAGGGTGAAGGATCCTAGAAAGACTTCTGTTGCCCTCTTCTAGTTATACAGAGGAAGAAAGCAGCCTGTGATTTGGGCAAGGGGTGGTGACTTGCCCAAGGTCACACAGCTGGGCCTTGAAACCAGATGGTTTAATCTTAGGGCTTCTGCAGGTGTCTAGCTGATCCTTGCTGAGGAAAGGGGTGATGGGAGAGGTGTGTGGACCAGAAGAGTAGGGATTGCTCACAAAGAAGGCCAAAGGATTGGAGTGCAGAGAGGAGGGGTCCTTAGAGAGTGCACCCCAGTACCAGAACAGCCACTTCAGCCCTTTGAGATAGGGACTGAAATACTGTGGCTTCATGTACACATGCTGGACTCGGAGCTCCCAAGTCAGAAGAGACCTTCAAACTACTTTTCCACACAGAGAAAGGAAACTGAGGCCCAGAGACAGGGAAGATTTACAGTTGTGGCTAAGCACAATCTCTGTCTTCTCTCCTAGTCAGGGTCCAGGCTTCATGGACACTGACTTCCACTCCCACCCCCTTGTAGTTAGAGGGCACTGATACCAAAACCTGCCCCCAGCGTTCCACCCCAACTGTCTTTTTGCAGCACCCTGTGGAGAGGCTGTTGGTATGCCTAGGTGGAGGGCAAGTTTCCCAGGGCAAAGGCGAGGATTCAGGGATGGCCTGGGAGTACCAGCCATGTGGGTTTGAGGGGCAAGTGTTGGTGGGTGGGCAGGAGGTATATGGGTGTGTGTCAGCAGGGTGAAGGCTCCAGGAGGGGGCAGAGCATGCCACATGGGAATTAATGCCATTCATACACCCTGCGGAAATGACTTTTCAAATGCATATAATCTCAAGCATGCAAATGAGAGGCTTGCTTCACCCTGTTTAATATGAATGATCGGCCTTTGAATAGCTATTATTACACACCACATTGCAGCAATTATGTTGTTCACTGGGTGTCACTCTGTCGTCCCCCCCCCACCACCAAATGAAAAGAAAGAAAGGGACACCTCTGTTTGCATCCTTCCTTTTATTTTCCCTTTTTAAAACTTGCTGTCTGATCTACAACTTTCTGGTGTTCCTGAGAACATTGGAAGGGGACCACTCTCCCTTACCCCAGGGACATAACTGTGGAATTCTCTTTGCTTTCTCCTGTGTGCACACACACCCCTGAGGCTTTGGTCTTTGTCCCCTGGGGCCCAGGACTTCTCAGATCTCAGAACAGCTTGCCTGGGATTCAGAACAGGCAGCTGCACTCCACCCCCAATCCGGCCAAGGTTGGGGCTAGGGAGAGCAGAGTGGGCTCCTGCTGTTCTTCCCATCCCCCACTGTAGCTGAGGCGCAGACCCCAGTGGGGAAGTTGCTCCTGTAGGCTATGGAGTGGGTGGTTGCAGGGGTGGGGGCTGGAGCCCTGTGCTATGGTGGGTGGAGGATGGTGCTCACCCACCCCATCCATCATTTGGCAGCCACTAGCCCTAGGGCTGACATGGCCATTAAGGCCTGAGATCAAGTACTCAATCTCTTCCAAACCATCACCCCCATCCTTGCCCTACCCCTGGCCCAGTTCCTCTCAGAACTCTGGATGGAGTGGGAGCAGCAGCTGAGGGAACATGCAGAGAAATTTACAAACATGGGGCACTTTCGTAGCACTAGGGTAGCCAGCAGACAATGTAGACCCACTTGGACAGGGACAGCCAGAGTCAGAGAGGGGCTACAGGAGCAGTGATGTGGCGTCTCCTGGACTTTGTCCTCTACCCACCCTCATACCTCCACACTCCTCCTCTTTCTGCTTCTAGCAGGGATGAAGACAGAGCAGTGGCCTAGTGCAGTGAGAGAAGAGTTATTCCAGGGAAAAGAGTGAATTTGGGCATGGGAGGGATGCTCTTGGGAGCCACTGCCCTGGGGAAAGAGCTAGGGAAGTAATTCCCACTCTTCCTGCAGTTTCCCTAATCTGTTACCCAAAGGCTGTCATCCACAGGGGGACCCTGTGGTTATGCGATCTGCCTGGACCAAAAGGGATCAAAAAGCGAGGAAAGAACACAGACTGAATTCCCTGGGCCTTGCCAGATGCATGTACCACCACACCAGCCTTTGTATCCTAAAGTTCCTCCATCTTCCCTGTGGTCTGTGTGTACAAGTCCTTGGGATGTTGGCTCTCCATGGCTAGTGGAAGCTCGGGCCACCTCCTCCTCACTGCCCTTGACCACCACGATCAGACCCTCTCTTTCCGTGGAATTTGCAGCCACTCCTTGAGAGGCACTTCTATAGTGGGAGTCACGTCTGTCATGGAAGGATTCAGACCCTGACCCTTTGTTTTGGGTAAGGCACTTAACTCCTTGGACCTCAGTATTTACTTACTTACTTTCTGTTTATTTTTTGCTGGTGGTGGAGTCCAAGGCCTCGTGCACGCTTGGTGCACTCTTCCACTGAGCTACACCAGCCCCATTTGAGGGGCTGTGCTGAGGATTGAACCCAGGGCCTTGAATGCTAAGCGCTCTGCCACTAAGCTACATCCAGCATCAGTTTTTCAATTTGTTTTTTTTTCCAGGTACTGGGGTTTGAAGAACTCAGTTCCTACACCTTGAGCCACACCACCAGCCCTTTTTTGTGTTGGATATTTTTGAGACAGAGATTCAAGTTTGCCTGGGCTGGCTTCAAACCTTGATTCTCCTGATCTCTGCCTCCTGAGTAGCTAGAATTATAGACCTGAGCCATCAGTGGCTGGCTAGTTTTTCAATCTTTAATAACAATCTACCACAGTTCTCTGCAGGGTCAGTAACAGTATTGAGTATCTGTTTGGAGTCTGGTGCTGGGCTGAGGACTTTAGAATGGAAGATGGGAAGAAGGCGCCCACAGCTGACCCCATACCCAGCAGCCTCCCTTAAGTGTTAGAGACTGGGCAAAACGAAGCCACTGTAATAGAACAATGTTGAATGTTGATTAGGGACTGGGGAAGCAGGTCTTGCCCTTAAGGGAACTCCCTATCTAGATGGTAGCAACCAGAAACCATCACAGGTTGGGGGAGGGGCACCAGTGTGGAAGATCTCAGCAAAGAGCTCATCTACCATCCGGTTGTTATAGGACCTTCTGCCTCTGCATTTAACACTGTGGCTTAGAGGGAGAGGACAGAACAGGTGTAGGACCCTAAGGGGTGGGACAAGGGTTCCTCCCCTCTCCCGGGGGAAGTGAGGAAAAGTGAGCAAGGGATGCCTCGGCTTGTCTGGAACTGCCCCTTACCGAGGCCTAGGGGAGGGGTGACATGGAGGAGGCACACATCCTGGGACGGGTTGAGGAGGGAAGGGACCCCAGAACCGTGGCTGGGGAGTGGGGTGTTCACGATGATGGCGGTTTTGTGGTTGGGGGCATTTCAGTTGTTGCCCAGAGTGGAATCTGCCCTGTCCGGTCCAGTCTTGAGCCTCAGCTCCTCCCCCGTGTCTCTTCTCCAGGTCCCGCTAGAGCGACATGATGGTGGAATCCGCCTCGGAGACAATCAGGTCGGCTCCATCTGGTCAGAACGGTGTTGGCAGCCTCTCTGGGCAGGCCGATGGTGGCGGCAGCGGGGCTGCAGGAACGGCCTCAGGAGGCGCGGGTAGGGACGCAGCTGGTGTTGCAGACAGCAATGGCGAGATGAGCCCTGCAGAGCTTCTGCACTTCCAGCAGCAACAGGTAGGCGCTGCGCCCCTTCCTGAGGCCTCATCCCACTCACTCCAGGCCACCTGGGTGTGTGTAGCTGCTCCCGCCCTTCAGCCACCCTCCAATCAACCTGGCATTAACATTCTTGAGAAAGTCCAGCCTCCAGGAACTCCCTAGAAGCCACTGGGAGCCTTGGGAAGCTCAGTGTTCCCAAAAGAGAGGCTTGGGACTGGGGGCCTGGGTTCACAGAGCTTGGAACAGCCCCAGAAGTGCCATAAGGACAGAACAGACGCCTGGGCAGCAGCAGGCTTGAGAGGTAACCCCCCTACCCCCGACATGGGGGTTGGGGGGAGGGCACTGCTCTTCCAGGCACATGGCTGGGAATTTGGCTAAATTAACAGGGTTGCAGGGAGGGGGGGGGTATCTTTATTTGTATGGTAAAACATTCCCCACTTCCAAATCTGCCTGGGTTCTTGATCAGAACTGTGAAGAGGTTAAACTTCCAGGCACCAGGGGCCAAAGCAGTTGAGAAAAGGCCAAGGGAAGGAGGCAAAGGCAGGCCTCTATTTTTAGGGCTTACACTGGGAACCCTTTTCCTCTTCTGTGCCTCTTCGGTCTCCATCTTTAAGCTCAGGGTTCAGGAGTTCACCACCAGCCTCTCTGAGGATGACCAGCACTAGGGTGGGGAGCCTGGTTGGTTGATGACAGAGCAGGCCCCTGGTCCTAGCCCCACCCAGGGTGGGGGTGGGGGGATCATGCTTAACAAGTTCAGTAGAACCGGCCCAGCCAGCTCTGGCTCTTCTTCGACTCTGCGACTCCAATCACTGCTGGTAACACTGGCCCTTGGGGGCTTCTTGTACCCCTCCACACTCCTGCCTCGCTCACTGCGCACCCAGTGCCTTCGTGCTCCCTCTAGGGCACTGCTGTCACCCACCCCACAACAGTCCATAACTCCTAAGGGGTGCTTTCCCACCACTCTCTTGGGAGCCAGCGGTCACTAGACTAGAAGCAGCACTCTCAGAAGCCCCACCATGCTCTGAGGGCTGAGTGGGCTCTAAAGCAGAGGTGGAAAAAACCTGGTCCCTCACCAGTCATGCCACCTTCACCACGCCAGGACCTCCACAGCCTTGGCCTGCTTGGCGTCTAAAGTACTGTGTTGTCTGTGTCCTATGCGGCTGGTGTGAAACCCCTCTCACACTGACTTGCCCCTGTGGATTTAAACAGACTTTTAATCACTAACTCTTGCCAACAGGGGAGACTGAAGCTGGCAGGGCCTGACTCTTTTCCTTGGGAGATGTCCGTGTGAGTTTGTGAGCATCTCCTAAGCCTCCCCAGGCAAGCTCTCTGGGGAAGTGACCTAATGAATCTGTGTGCTCTGATGGGGACAGAAGGTCAAACAACAAAATCATACCTTTATCCAAATAATAACAAAAGAGAACTATGACAAATTTCAAATGTGTCAGGAGGTACATGGCAAGGGGGCATAGCAAAACTAGAAAGTTCCTTTGAAAAACATGACTTAAAATGAAGCATGAACACAGGTCTCTGGAGAGTGGCAGATATTTTGGGGTGGAGAGGAACAGGTCTGTCTGTACTCACCAGGTTTCTGAGTTTCATTACATAGGAGCCATGTTTTACCATCTATACTCTATATCCCAGTTATCCCTGTTTATTTTGGGGAAAATCCCAGCATCCTGGAAAGTCCTGTATTGCTTTCACAAATAAACTGGGGTGGGGATTTGGAGGCAGGCGGAGGGCTGTTTTATCCATTAGGGCTTACTGTGGGCGTAGTGCCCAGGGCCAAGGAAAATATTTGAGACTTAAAAAAAGGTTTTGTTGACTCCAAACTATGAAAAGAACCCTGCAAAATTAAAATTACAAAATTTTCAACTAAAGCGAAAGTGTGGGGGCCTTCCCTCTACCCCCCAGTATTTGAATGAGGCTTTTGAGAAAGCTTCTAGGGTAGTACCCCAACAATAAGCAAGTATGGGGAAGATAGCCTGGTCTCTTGGTCCATCTTCCCTTTCAGCCCCCAGCAGGAAGTCTTCAGAGGACAACTTTCACATTCTCTGTGTCATTAAATCCCCTCACCATTGCTGGAAGGAGGTGATATTATTCCTAGTTCACATATGGGGCAGCAGTCAGGGGTAGGCACCAACTTGTCCAGGTAATATAAAGGCTGCAGCTAGACTTGTCTCCTGGTTCCAGTTCAGGGCTTATCACACCTTCGTTGTTCCTATCCCAGTCACACAGTCCCCAGTGGGATGTGGAGGGAGGAGGTTCTCTCATATAGTAGGTGGTGAATAGATGTCTGTTGGTGACAACACTTCCTTCCTGACTGGAGGGGTCTTTTAAAACAATAAAAAAGCAACCCTTAAAGCCAAGTGTGATGTGCACACTTATAATTCCAGTATTGGAAGCAGGAGGACCACATGTTCGAGACCAGCTTGGGCTATAAAGCAAGATCTGCTTCAAAAACCGAAACAAACACACAAAGAAAGAGGAGGAAAGAAGCTAGGAAGCTCTGCCTATGACCCTAGGTAGCCACTCATGCCCACCACACACTCTAGAGGCAGAGTTTGAGAGAGCGTGGGTCTGCAGACAGATGATGCACTGGTCCCGTCCTCCTTTTCATGCCCTCCTTGGGTCCCCAAGACTCCTCTCCCTTTGTCTGTTGGTCTCTGGTCCCTCTGTTCTGGGTAAACAAGCCCTGGAAATGCAATCCTGGCCTTTGAGAGTAATGAGTTGACAGAGGAAAAAGAGAGACAGAGGCAGAGCAAGTCAGAAGTCAGGCAGGTGACTGGACATTAGGCGGAAGAGGTCAGGAAGCCGTCACAAAAGTGGTGCTGGGTTTCCATGCAACAGCAGGCTGGGAGCTTGTTTGAACAGAGGTTGGGGGTGACCGGCTCAGCTGCCAGGCCTGGTCTGACTAGAGAGAGGGTCACCAGCTGGCTGCCCCATTTCAGTATTCCCAGCGCCCTTATTGGGGAGTGACAGCAACTAGGATATGGAACTCCAGTCTGTCCCCGAGGCTTTCACAAAGTCTGCAGTGTCACCTCTTGGGGAGACCCTGTACTGAGAAGATGGTGGGGGAGGGTCCAGGCCTTGGAGGATTCAGTTACTCAGCAGACAAGCATTGAACCTTTTCTTGGCTGGGCACTGTGTGGACTGGAGTTGGTGCCTTTGTCCCCTGTTGCAGAGAGACCTGGCTGCATCAGTCCCCCTCCCTTACCAAGGTGGATGCTTCATACCCTCCTGCCTTCTTCTGTTTTCATCCCACATGGTGGCTTTTTTCTTTGAAAGTTGCCCTTACATTTTATTTTCATCTAATTATCCAAGGTGTGGGGCTCTCCCCAGGGACCCAGCAAATACCCTTTGGGCTCTCTGATGGGGGTCAATGAGGGCTGGGAGGTGTTCATCAGATTCTGGGAGGTGGAGGGCCTGGGGAGGTCCTGACGCTGGAGGCGGGAGCTGAGCCGGCAGGAGGGGCAGGCAGAGCCCTGGCGGGCTGTGCTGAAAGGCGTCCTTGGGCCTCTGGAGTGCACATTCCTATTGTCCATGGGTTGCAGGGGTGACAGATCGGGGAGGGTCACCAGAGGGTTGCTTAGCGTCTGGGAACTCCCAGTGCAGTTGCTGCGGCAACGGGGCCAAATCCCACCCCATCCACATCCTGTGAGGGGATTCAAAAGGGTTGGGGGAGTTCTACACATTAATGGGCTTTTAACCCACCTCCCTCCAAAGAGATGGGGGGGAGCTGCAGGGAGTTGGGGGAGGGGATAAGAATGGAGGAAACTTTCCCTTCCTCCTCCATCTGGCCCTCCTCTGCCCAAGCTACTTAGGGAGGTCTGCCCCACCTTACACATGCTGTCCACTGCTGTGTGCAGGCTTCTGGTTGTGGCCCATTTCTCCCCAGGACTCAGCCTCCTGCCCAGGATTTTGCTCTGGTCCCACACCTCTGGCTCTTCTTTGTCCATCTAGAGATTGAGCCCCTCTCAATCTGGAGATTGAGCGGGGAGGTGGTGGGGACAGTTGGGGGCCTGAACTCCCCAGAGTGGGACTTAACATACTTCACACCAGCTGTTGGGAAATACTTAGAAAGTGTACCTTAGCCTGGAAATAGTCGGAGGAGGGCAGCTGAGCGTCTGTGGAAAGAAGAGTTGGGGAGCGGGCTCTAGCTGTCCCCTTCTTGTGCCCTTCCTGGGTTGCTACACCAAAGGCTGCCCAAAGAGTTTCCTCAAAAGGAGTTGTACCATGAGCAGAGGAAAAGCCCAGGGCCTGGGGGAGGGGCTCTAGACCCCTGCTGCCTTGGGAGTAGCAGGAAAGCCTGCTGGAAGGATGCCAAGGCCCCTTACTTTTCCCTTCCTTATCTCATTATCATGGCAGAGTTCCTGTTGCTACTGATGAGGAGAATTTGGGGAAAGTAGGTTTCTTCCCAGGGACTGAGTGTGAGAGTTGAAGTGGGGAGGTCTGCATCCCAAGCCACAGGTGGGCGAGCTGCTTTTTCTCCTGGGGGAGGTGTTGCTCTGAGAGGCCCCGTGGGAGTCCTAGAGAAGGCCCTGCCTGCACCCTTTATAAATCCCACACTTACAGCCCGGGTTCCAGAGCTTGAAGTAAACCCGCTTCGGGAGAATTCCACAGCTGTGGGCAGGCTGTGTGTCTGCTGTTTTCAGACACTGCCAAGAGGGAGGAGAGCCACTGCCACCCGCTGCCCCTCCATCACCCATCACCCCTCTACCTTGGTGCTTTCACTTTGTCAGCAGACAGATGACAGGTATTCCTTCTAGACACTGGGACCCCAGTCCTGCCTCTCACAGCATCCTGCTGAGCTAGCCTGGGTTCTTCTTGAGAACTGGCCCTTGCTATGAAGCCCACCTAGGGCAGACTGACAAAGGAGAGGACAGAGGAGCCTTCCAGGGACAGGGTTCCTTTTCTGTACTGCTGTGCTTAGTGGTCAGTCCCCATCTCCCAAAGCCAGCTCCTTGTGAAAAAGAGGCAGCTTCCGGACAGTTGGCAGGAGTGTCCTGAAACCCGAC